CAGTCTCAGAAAAACATCCATATTGATTCTGGCTTTTCTACATCCAACTCACAGGTTTATCATTACTTTGAGAAAAAAGATTATTAATTTAACCCTTTTAGAAGGGAAGATATGGTCATTTGTTCTGGGAATGTCATTTTCGAGCCTGAAACCTGAAAAGCAGGCTTGGGGCTATGTGTGTTGCTTCACCTGCAGTGGATGTTTTTATTGTTTAAAATATGTCTGCTTTTGTGTTGTTTAACTGTTGATTTTGTAAGAAGTGTCAGGTTATTTTATTAATGTAGCCTTATATTGCTTGTTGTTAGCAGTTCTTTTGTGTTTTTCATTTAAATGTAATTGTTTTGTCCTCTTTTCTGGTTAATTCAAGCGAGGTTGTTGTTATTCAGTGAGTGCTGGCACAATGAGATCTGCATGCTATGAGATATTAAAGGTGCACATTCTGCTTAATTATTTCCTACACTTTATGTTGACCTCAGCAACACAATGCCCCCCTTGCAGAGTCACCATTAATTAAATAATTTTACGTAATTGACACTGTATGCAGTCCATGTTTAAAGCTCCATATTAATGGACTGGTTATTTCATGATGTGATTGTATGCCACATCCTTCATGTTTACCTTGTCGAAATAATTTGCCATAAACTTCATGTACATTCCTTTATTTTAAAAATGATTTTTCCATTTTACCAAACACTTTTTTTTTTACACTTAAAGCTCAAACATATAATGTAAAAAAACAGCTCAAAAACACAGAGTCATAAATGCTGTCTAAGAAGCGCTTGATATGTTTTACGCTATTAAAGTGCATTATCTTTGTATTGCACCTAGTGTTCAGAAGTGGATAGTCATATTATTTCTACTCTGGATACTATTCGTGCAGTCAAAGCCTTTTTGTATTCTTATTTGTTTACTACAAAAATACAATTTTATATGTGAAGTCTTACAAGCAGATGCAGCAGTTCCATAATGTCTGGCTGTACATTGTGTGCCATGTGGGCATTCTGCTCAGCGGGACATCATTCGCACAAACTCTGAAAGAATAAAAGAAAGGGGTGAGTGGGATAAAGATAAGGATTGATGTAGTTGCCAAAAATATCCCACAAATGCAAAAAGAAAGTATTTTACCCTCAAAGTCCACCAGGCCGTCTCCGTTGAGGTCGGCGTCACGGAGGATCTCGTTGATCTCTCTGTTTGTCACTTGTTCTCCCATCAGCTTCTTCATAGCTTCACGGAGCTCATTCAAACTGATCTGACCGTCACCATTAGAGTCAAACTGGACACAGAGAGACAGATGCTAAGGATGACTCCTGAATATCTTCAATTTATAGTATCAAACTGAATAGATTGGGAAATACACAACTTTGCTTTCAAAGAAGCCTGCAACTATGCCCACTAGACCCGCTTTGGGGGGAAGCTACAGTATATGAACAATTTATCAAGATTATCAACTTTTTCAAAGAACATAAACTGTATTTTGTTATACCCCTGTCAAAAGCCATAACAATATCTCCCAACCTGTTCCAATATAAAGGTTGTCCAGAAGACGTTTTGGCTTATCATAGGCACAGGTAGTAGTCCCACTAATAATAGCTTTATCTCATCACTTTTTGCAGTTGAATGTCTGGAGATGAACAACTTTAAGTAACAGTATATCTTGACCTCTTTGAATGCATCACGTAGTTCCTTGATTCCGATCATGTCTGCTGTCTCTGCCAGCATCTTGGGTCCCATCAGCTCCACAAAGTCCTCGAAGTCCACTTTACCTCCACCTGCAACACACAGGCGCCACATCATCCTCTGCTATCTATTCTGACCATCGACTCTCATAGTCATGTGTCTCTAATAAATTACAACAGTATAGAGCATGAGAAACGATCGGTAATCAATTGCATTAACCAACAGTTACCCCAAATGCAGGGTTCATCATTGTTTTTTTACTTATCACTTAAAAACCTGTATTTTTCTATCCCCCCAACACGTTATCATTAATTGATTAGGGAATTGAACAAGAATTGGATCGATGAGAGATATGAATAATGGATCAGTACTAATTCAATCTTATTAATTCCCTTTTCACAGTGCTACTCACAAATCTGCTGACTCAGTTCGATGAGCTCCATCTCTGTCGGCATGTATCCCATCGTCCTCATACACTCCCCCAGGTCATTGTGACTGATGTAGCCTTTTTTGTTTCTATCAAACTCCA